GCTCAACTTTTATATGGTGTTCAACCCAAATAAGAAAAGTAACAAAACAAACAAAAGAGAAGTGAGAATATATCTCAAACATTTATAATACATATAAGGCATATGGATAACACACTTACACATCACACAACCACAACTCACATCAATATAAGTCATCCAATCCTCGATAGTTATAACACTTTATTCAATGCATTAAACTCAAAAATCATACACATTACTATTCAATGACTCATGCAACTCATGCTCTTAACTTTATATGCACGTGGTACCAATCTCCAACATCACCAAAGACACTCTAATACAAGGCAATCTAGGAGTACATGGACCAAATCACCACACACTGGGAAAATCCACTTATGACAAGGGAAAATCTATCAAGATACAATCAAAACATTATAGTTGACAATGGTCACCTCCCATATTCATTAAAGGTTCCCCACTATAATGCTCCCAAAGTCAAAATAGACCATAAAGGCCCTTTTACATAGATTCACACCACTTCCCGAAAAATTATGCATGAATGCATGGATTCCCATATATCATTATCAAACACAATAATTAATGCAATGTTTAGCGCCATATCATCAACTTAATTGTCAAACCTCTTCGTCTAGACTTCTCCACAAGATACCAAGCATGTACTTGGATTTCAACAGTGCTAAACCTTTGTATAGGCTTCCTCATCTCATCATCAATACCTCTTTTACCTTTCCATCTCTTTCATCATTACCTAGTTATGGTTATACTCTATCTCTTCTCTTCTTTTATTAAATTATGAATATTATGTTTCTCTATTTCTTTCTATCGTTCCCCTTTATCATTCATTCACATTTCTTTCTTCTTTTTAATTGATTACCCATAATTATTCATTCTCTTTATCTTCTTTTTCAATTTCTAATAATATCACACTCTCACAAATTCCTTTGCTAATTATCACCCTTAAAGAATCACTCTATTTTCTCCTTAGCAATGTTACACCAGGCAAGGCAAGGCTCGTAGGAGAGGTAAGGGATCCCTTTATCATGTCCATGCCTAGTGTGGCTACTCCCACACTCAGTGTTGAGGGAACAAATACCCTTTTAGTGCTCTCACATCCGATGTGATCCTAGTCACACCTAGTGTCATCCCTTAAAAAAATTGATGTTAAATCATGCCAAGAAAGACACCCCTTCACCCAGTGCTAAGAGGTTAGGGACCTCTTTGCGGCTCCAACGCCTAGCATGGTCCTCTCCATGCCCGGTGCAGAGAATTGCATTCACCACGCTTGACGAGTTAAATGCGTGTTGACATCAATGCATATTTTGCACTTCACAAATTGTGAATCAGGGTTCTCTAACCCTTCCAAATCCATTTTAAACATTGTAGAACCTTAAATCAATTAGTACAATGATAAACACATCCTTGTAACAATTATACAACATCAATTTACTCTAACACAATCAATTCATATCAAGCACCCAAATCATATAACCCTAACTCTCACAAATTCAAACACATAACAATACATAATTCATAACAATTAACCATAACAATTACAGCAACATCAATCTTAAAACATCAGCATCTTATCAAATACATAAACTATTATAAATTCATGGAGACTTAGGGGTCGACTTACCCATACCTCTCATATGTACCCATAAGGAGCCATTTTCACTTCTCTTACCTCAAGTGATGATCATTAAGGTGTGGGCACGCTCCTTTACCACCTTCATAGCTAGTGTTTGCACTCCTTGGAGTTCTTTTCTAGGGTTTCCTCTATAAGCACTCTTAGGTTTCAAAATTGACATGTAAAATTGTCCTAACTCCCTTCCTTTTATTTTAACAAGACTTCGAGTTGGGCTTAAGAGTCCAATCTATAAACTTCTCTCTAATACACCACTTACTCTTATTTTATTTTTTTATAAATATTATATATATATATATATATATATATATTATAAATTCAATTAAATAAAATAAGTTTGTCCATAATATAAATATTATTTTAAAAATATTTTATTTATTTTTAAAAGAAATGGGATGTTACAAAATCGGTTAGAAATAACTTAATTTTAAGATGATTTTTAAAATCAATAAAAATCCAATTTTAAAAGTTCACTCCTACAACATCAGTTGCATCAAAATTTGTCTTGCAATTAATTTTGCAATTGTGTTTCTTTCAAAAGGTTTGCTTATTGAAAATGATGGAGATGGAGATGGAGAGGGTTCACAAGAAATTTGCACTAAAAGGAAAGGTAAAGGGCCTTTAAGTGAGCACCGAAATCAAACTTGAGATGTTAGGTGAAGCTTTAATTTATTGGACGACTGAAGCAATGTGTGTAAGGGATGAAGCATCAAGAGCCAAGACAAACTGGTATAAAGCACAAGCTACTAGTCCAATAATTTAATGATATTTCAGATTATCTTTATTACAATGCTTTGGATAAGTTTACTAATAAGGATTGGAGGATCATATATCATTAAATTGTTGTCATATAGGAGGAAGAAATGACTAGCATCTCTTGACAAGTAGTGTTTAATCGATAATTTTATGAAATTTGTTATGACTTTAGTAGGAGTTTTAAGCAACGTATTATCTTATATTTGATTGTTTACTTTTCAAGTGTTAAATTTCTAGTATATGTTATTTTCTTTGATTGATTTATATTAATGTGTATTAGTTTTACATTATTTCAAGTATTTAAATGTTTAATATTATTTATGTTAGTTAACATTATTATTTATCTAAGCAGGTTAACATCTCTATACATGAATCTATTAACACTTTAAGTGAAAGTATAGCATGATTCTTATTTAGTGCTTCATTGATTATAAAATATAAGCAAAGTTTTATTATCAAGATGCCATGTAGAACTTCTATGTGATGAGAAAGATGAATACTCTTGAATTTCTAGTTGACCACAAAGATGTTTTGAGAAATTTATAATGAAGAAGGATGTATTTATGAATTTTTGTGAAATTTTTTTAAGGAATGTTGGAAAATTGAGAGATGGAAAAAATTAAGCTTAGACGAAGCAGTTATAATGTTCTTAATCATAGTGCGTGATAACTTACACCATCAAGTTATTGTTGACACTCTTTGCATATTGTAATTAAATGGTTCATAATTATTCTGTAAGAGCAGTTTTCAAGTTAGGCATGACAATTATTTGTCAAGAAGTTAGACAGTTACACAAACAACCAAAAGTTTTTTCTCCATATTTTAAGATATTTTTTCTATTCGTGTAATTAGAAAATGTGACTTTTTTGTTGTAATAATTATTCATGTTTTAAATGTATAAATTGTATTGGAGCTATTAATGGGATATGTGTATCTACTTGTGCTTTTATTTCTAAACAAACTACTTTTTGTGATACAAAAATCTTGGTTATACAAAATGTTTTGGTGGTGTGTGATTTTGATATGCTATATTCACATTTATTTATTTTAGATGGGAAGGTACAACAAATGATGCAAGAATGTTTTTAGATGTTTTAACTCCTAAAAATAATTTTTCAAAGCCCCATAAAGGTTTTTTTATTTATAATAATATTAATCTCTTTTTCTTTAGCTTTTACGGGTTATTAACTAAGTGCATTGTTTATTTTACAAATAATTTTTATCTTATCAACTCTAAATTTCTAAATATTCCTAGTAACCTTAAACTCTTTTCATGGACAAATATGTCATTTGCATGATTTTCGTGATAGAAGACGATCATGAGATAAACAAGAATTATTCAATTATGAACATTCTTTATCAAGGAACATTATTGAAAGATGCTTTGGAGTATTTAAAACAAAGTTTCTGATTTTTAAGTTAATGTCAAATCATTCTATTAGAAGACAAAAATTACACCATATAACTTTTTGCACTATACATAATTATATTAGAATGCAACAAAACAATGATACACCTTTTGAGTTTTGATCAATATGCTCATGAATAATTAGTTTTGGATGATCAAGGTTTGAGGATAGATGAAGAAGGTATTAAGTTGAATGCTTAATCAAATTGCTCATATGACACGAGTTCCAAAAATTATTGCTAATTAAATGTTGGAAAGCTATCTAAGGTCATGAAAATATTATGATTGCATTTTAAGACATGCTATTTTTTTGAGAGTAAGACAAATGCTATTGATTATATTTATATTTATTTTTTTGAGACTTAAAATACAATTTTAGCTATATTTATATTTATTTGCTTTTGAAAATAAACAATCTAATGATTTTGTTAAAAATAGTTAAACTAAACATATATTGAAAATTTTCATTTTCTAAAATAGAGAATAAAAAGTCAAACCAAACATGTTTCTAAATATCAAAATTTAAAAATACAAATTATTTTCAGAAAATGGGAATAGAAAATAAAAACAAAGAATGTTTTCCAAAACCAAACAATCCCTAATATTTTCAAATTCAAGTAGCAAGTAATACTTATGTGATTACCCCATTATACGTTGATTTAATATAAAAACTAACAAGACACATCATAAGACAATAAAATAAAATTTTCTCATGTAAAAAAGAATATGTATAAAGATAATTTTTCAAAATGAAATTTCAAATATATTATTATATAAGGATAGATTACTTATGCATTTCAAGACAATCCTTCACTTAGAATTGTGTTTTAAAATAAAAAATTTTGTTCTAAAAACTAAGTTACTCGCACCACATTTTCAAACAAAATTCAAATAAAATATGGATGCATTTATTTCAGAAAATCTTTTACTATTTGGAAATGTGAAAGTGAACATACTAATTCTCATATAAAAAGATATAGAAAGGCATTTTAATACATGCTTTCTTTTTAAGAATATAAAACCTTCATATTTCACATGCTTCTCATTTCTATGGTAAAACATTAATAATATCTTATATTCTCGTGAGAATAAAAGTTAGTTTTTATAATTATTACATCCTCCCACTAATTATTCCACATTTCTTCATTCATTGTCAATTTTTTTAATTAAAAAAATATTTTTTAAATTAATAAAAACAAAACAAACGTGTTCAAAGAAATAACACTCCTGTATGTAATATTATGCAAACAAATGCTTCCTATACAATATGTTTCTGTGAAAAGACTATGCTATTATGTATTATCATTGCTGAGTAAACAACGGTGTGCAGTAAAAAAAAAAAAAAAACTAGTTATTAGCCTCGATTGCCCACGAATGGAACAAAAGTTAAATCAGCAACCACAAAAATTGAATTTCCGTTGTCTCCCTTGGTATTTTCCCATGTCATTTACACACGATTTATTTTCTATCGCACAAAGGGTCATGTCATATATCACTGGCTCACGGCTCCTCATATAACATCACAATCAACCTGAAAATTGAGGACCGAAATGTCACTAAACAGGTGTTCCTTTGAAACAGAAAATTCGTTGCAAACATGATTACGAAAGCCTTATAATGGATAACAACAACAATAATAATATATTCACCAAAGTCATGAATACTATGGTTCATTTAAAGAATTGCATGTTTCAACTTTTAATGAAAATACTTGTTAAAAATTAGCCCTTGTTCTTAAAGAATGAAGACCGGTGAAACAAAGATGGCAGCAGAGAATTATAGAAAGAAAGAAATCCAGATCATTATAGTATGTGGGTTGAATGCACTTGTCCCATTGACTATGCACGAACAACTTCAACGCATATGTTTTGTTTCAAAATTGATAAGACTGCTTTAACGGTCCTCTCAACCAATAGAATAAGATACAAAATGCAGTATACAAAAAATTAATTGATTGCTTACCGTTATAGGACAAAATTGGGGTAGCTGAACTCAACACCCTGTAGGAGGTGTTTGTTTCATTACCAAATCATTAGCAGAGTAGTAATCAGCTATCAGCCGGTACATATATGACGAGTTATGCCCTCCACTGAGAAGAAGTATTTCCAAACCAGCGAATGTATGAAAAAGAAAATACGATTAGTATACTCCCTTTCCCAAATCAGTGATGAAGGCAAGTTAGTTTATCAATTAAATTCTAGTTTAACTTACGTTTCAGTAATAAAGAGACTAACAAGGTTTGGTGGCACATAATCAAATACTGGATTAACAACATCAAGAGAACCAGCACCAGTTGAATAATCCAACAAATCTGAGAATTCACCAAAGTCAAGTAGCTCGGATGGGGATCTGAACTCATTCAGTAGGACTTGAGGATTGTGTGGATACAACGGGCACATCTGTAAATAAAATAAATGAATTTTCAATGAAAGCCAAATAGTTAGTTAACTGACAAGAAACATCAGATCACAATATAATTCCCAACATAATTAAGGCACCAAGGTTTCCTTACAAGCATGTGAATGCCTTGCCTTTATGTGTATTAGTAATACTATCACAGTATGGACACATCTTAACTGAATCAATAACTAAGAAGAAGCTATTTCCTTATCATCATACAAAATATTGTTCAATTCTAATTTTCCAATCTCCACAGATCACATCATTATGTCAAGAGTGTCAGCGGGAAAACCAATTTGCACCGCTGGAAATATCAGACTCTAAACATCCATTCATTAGAAATCAGAGCCATACATCAGCGGTCAGCCAATCGGAGTATAATTAAACTGACTTCGGAAAACACTCATTACCTTCAATTTCTGATTGTACAATATTTTAAAACAGAAAATGAAATTGGATTCTCTCACTTGTAGAATTGGAATAATCTACAATAATATAAATTATAAAATATATAACTTGGGGAATAAGGCTCTCACTCTCGCCACACTTTCAATTAAATAATCACATTCACTTGGGTTCAAGTCCCATCTTGTCCAAAATTTACTTTTACTGTTTGTTTTGCATGAAAAAATACATGGGAAACCAACAAATATAAGCCAGAATTGTTATATAATTAAATATATAATTTTATATTTAGACATCTTTTTTAAGTCATGAATGGCTAGGAAAGATCAATGGTTCAGTGGTCTAAAAGCTTTCAAATAACGTCATGTGCGTGTGTTCAAGCCCTACCTCATCCTATCTGAGCCAATTTTTAAAATACTGGATCTATTTCAATGATTAATTTATTTATTTATATACATTCCTAAGTGATTCAAATCATTTATCAATTCTTCCTCATCACAATTTTAATGCAAAATAAGTTGTCTAAATAGCCTGAACAAGGACAAACATGTAATGATTATGGACCATTTTGGGTTGACTATTCATACCCAGTTAAAATATATTTATGCTTGTCCTCTATAAAATGGGTTCAAAATTGTTTAGAATTTAAAACTAATGTCATATATCAATTTGAATTAAAATCAAATCATACTTATGTTGCCAAAACTTGGTTTGAACTATCGAATACTGTTTGGTGATTCATTTTGAAAATTCAGTAAAATATCTTGCAAATACTGAACTGTTTACATATTTATATAATTATATTTATATTGATTCTTATATTTTAATTTACTAACAGTATTCCTTTATTAGATGAATCAACTTTCAACTCAGACATATAACTAATTCTCATGTCTATATGTGTAAAAGAAATCAAACTCTTTGCCTCACACAGATTTGGCAGTAAACTATCACTCTAACAGATTTAACCGCACAGGGAAGAAACTACGGGGACATCGTAAGTCATAAGAATTCTTGTTTTCTATAACATGACATATGTGAGGGAGATATAGATCATACGTGAAAAATTTACCTTGTGACTCCCAGCAAGTACAACAAAGGGAACAGCATGCCTTTGAGCTGCAAGTGCAACCATATGTAACCCTACAGGGGCAATTACTCCACCATTAGCCATCACAGCATGAGCTCCAACAATAACCTATACAACGATAAGTTGAAATCAGTTTAAGTTCAGCACAAGACTCTTGATTCCAAAATTTCCACCATGATTTTCTCATACCATATTCACTCGAGAAATCAAAGCAAAAGTTGCAGCATCAGTAATTACTGTGGTCTGTAAGCCTCTATCAGCCAATTCTTTTGCAAGGAGTTGCCCCTGATATCTGATTGGATATGCAGTCAACATTGAATGGTTTTTAGAAGAATCCAATAAAACAAAAAGACATTGCTAATAAACCATGATCATGCCTTCCGCACATGTTAATTAGCCATAACCACAAACCTTGGGGCACCTTCAGCAACAAAGACCTTAAATGATCTTTTTTTATCCTTTGCAGCACAAAGAAATTCCAACACAGTTTTTGAACTGCCTAGCGTTAATATTACCACACTGAAAAGTAGCAGTGAAAACTACTAAGAAAAAGAATAATAGATTTCTTTTATTTAAGAAAGAGTAAAATCAAAAAATCAAGACATAATTAAATAAATCAACAGAATAACATTTGCCTCGGTTATTTAAGACGAGGGATGTAAGAAATAAATAATAGAAGAGCAGGATATGTATAATGTTAGCCACGTATATCAAGCAACCCTTGGCAACAGGAAACAGCCTCCGATTCGAGAAAACATGTATGGATGAAACAACTCATTTCCCCAATAAAAAAAAAAAAAAGAAGCAATAAACTATGTTAGAGTTACTTTCAGAAAGGTAAAATAATGCAGACTTTGCTGTTTGATGTTGTAAATTACAAGGCTTTTTTTCAAATATATGCATGATATTCTAAGTTAATATTATGTACTTCAAAGTTACTCTTTGACCAATTATGTCAACAAATAGTTGTAAGAGAAGTGTAGTAACACACTATCTAACGCATTCTTTCTAACACAATCTACAGTTGGTTAAAATTTAATGAAAACTACGAAATCAGGACAATGACTCATTAAATGAGAAGTGGGGCCAACCAAATTTGTGATTTTCGATAAATTTCAATCAATAGAAAAGAGTGTGCTATAGAATTTGTTGTTAGCACTTTTCAAAGTATACGGCAGGTTCTAAATAAAGGTAATGCAGCCCCCACAGAATGCTAATAAAAAGAGCTGAAACAGCCTACAAGGGAAGCTTTAACTGAAGTGTAGCTAGTTAAACTCAACCATATAAATAATTAAACAAAAAATTAATTGATATTATCAGTTATATCTTTGCCAATGTCAGTCCAATCTTTCCGTACAATCAAAATAATGTAGAAAGAACTAAAAACGAAAGAATCAGACATTAACATACACATTGCCTCCCCTATCTAAGTGTTACATAACAACAACAATTTAGTTTGTGATTTAAGAATTTAACTCATCTCAAAATAGTTATAGTGTAATATTCACTATATGACATGGTAAATAATTCTCCACTCAAAAGAAAGGCTTTTAATCAACCATGAAGAGAATTCTTGGGGGATTGAAATTTTTTAGCAATGCCTATTTATGATTACTAGCAAGAAGTGTTACTACTACTGCCTTGCCTTAATATTGATGAAAAAAAGAAAAGAGCATGTTCTAGTCAAGATGAACAAAATTTTCATGTAAATATGTAAAGATTTCCTAGCAATTTTTTCACAATCACGTATCAATCTGGCTTTTGGGGATCTTGTAAGGCATTTTCTCAAACAAGCAGTGTAAAGTAGCATGAGATAAACAATATATCTTGAGAGTGGTTTCGAGTGAAACAAACTTTTGATGAATAAGCTCTACTGCCTGCTCTGCTATTTGTTCGTGGCACGTGGTTATGTCTTGAATAAGTTCATTGACAGCTTCAATGACATCATGCTTCAACTTCCGACTTTTTGAACTCTTTTCAACAGCTACAAAAAGGAAGGCAAAATTCAAACTCGGAAAGATAAATGCAGGTGAACAGCAACCATTTCATCATCAAATGCGCCACAGAAACAAGGAGCAAATATTATACAATAATCACAGGGATCAACCAAGAAAATTTCCGTAATTTCAATGAAGCAATCTAATATTTTTATAAAAATGAGAAGAAAATAAATACTTATTGCACCTTACGATCTTAGCATTAATTTCATTGATGAAAGTTATCTAAAAGAATACCTTTTTGTGTCTTAGAATAAAAATTTACAGAAAAAAAAATAAAATGAAAAGAGAAAAAGAAAGATAACTTCCCCATTGCATTTAAACTTGAATTTTGGCATATCAACTATCAAGATATACAAAATCCAATTTTCTTTAATAAAAAAAACAAGAAAGAATACATAATGAAAAATATTATGAAAGTTATAACAATCTCAATCTCAATAGTCTCATGCCATACTCACATCTACTTTTCCCCTCAGATTCACCCCCTGAGGAAGGTGTTGGTGGAACTGGAACAGGAGATAAAATAGTCACACCCTCTAGAAGAGTTTGCAATGATGGTGGACGCAAGGTACTTCTTGCAGCAGCTGCAACAGCAGCAGCAGATAAAACAGGATGATCATCTCGCTCCACATCATCCTCATCGTCACTTCCAGCAGACATCCCCAAAGCAGCCATAGCAGCTGTTGCAAGGGAATGATCCTCCTCCCTTATAATGTGCAAAACACGCCTGACAATATTTCCCACAGCCAACTCTGCAATTGCATATATAACATGTTATAATATGCAAACAATAAATCAATCCCAATTACCAAATCACAACAAGCACGTGCAAGTGCATGCGACTGTAAAACATCCTTCAATAAAAGTAGAACTACTAAACTAGGCAATTTGATAAGGAAGCAAATAAACACAAAGACATACTTTAACAGTTATAAAAACACTAAACACAACACCAAAATCGCTAATCTCTTATTAAAATAATATTTGACCAGCAGAAGTCCCATTCTACAACAGCAGATTAGTAATTAGTTGTCAGTTTTAAGACACTAAACGATCCATATCCATAGACAAAAAAACACACACACAATGCATATCTAATATTTTAGGGATGAAAACTTGATATACCAATGGGATTAGCAGCAATAATCTTCTCCCCAACAGCCCTTACTGCATTAAGCAGAGCTGTGGCTTGGTTTGTGTGTGGCAGCCGCTGCTGCGAAATCACTGACCGGAGCAACTCTGCTGTCTGCTTTGCTGTGGCCTGAGACCCTTCAATTTTACTAGCATCACACAACAACAAAATACATAAATGGAAATCACAAAAATAACAAATCAAACACACAAACACAACATAAACATAAAAAAAAAAAGTCAGTTCCTAAACCTCAAGTCACATGATCATCCCTAATACACCATTCACTGAATTAATTCAAACAGCACCAGAGAAAGGAAAACAAAATACCGTTTCTTGAGAAGATTCACAAAATCATTCACAAGGACTTGAACATCCGGCATTTTCCTGAAAGCAACGAAAACAATAGTAATAATCAAGAAAAACCAGAAAAGGGCTTAACCAGGTGAAGATGAAAATAAAAGTAAAATGGTAACCTAATTATAGTAGCGTTACAAAATGAACGAGTGAAAGGGAATTTGAAAATCTTTGAGTAAGAAGAAGAATAGTGTTTGGGTCTTATTCGCAGCTGCGTGCGCTTTTAATAGTTCGGTTATGGAATCCGATATTTCGGGTTTAATACGGGTACCCGCTTACCGGTATCACGTGAAAAATAACCGCCAAATCAGATTTTATTGCTACCTATTAATATTTTACTATTATTTAGTTTCTTCTATACACAGTAATTATATATAATTAAAATTTATAATAAATTATACATATAAATATATTTAATATTATAATGTATAAATTATATATAAAAATTTTACAAATAGATTTTTTTTTTAAAATACATAACTTATATTTTAAATTTATAGTATATAATTTGAATTTAATGGTGATATATTGTTAATATAAAAAGTTTTATATAATCAATCAACTATAAAACATGATGTATGTGACTTTTAATTGAAATTGGTTGTTGCAAAGGTCATTACACTTATAGTGTATAATAGATTATAATTAAATAATATAAAATCATTTTATATTATCATTTATCAAAGATAATTTTGGACCCATGAAATTGAAGTATTAGGTATGAATTATTATAATTTAGAGGAATGATAAGATTTCATTTTGCATTGCATACTCCAAAGGATTACTATGAAGCGATTACTTTATTTGTGTAGAGACCTTTATATCTCGTTGTTTGATAATACATATATGTGATGATTAAACCCTCCTTATTCCTTTTTTTCCCTTTTTTTTTTTGTATGCTTTGTTTGTAACTTCTTGGAAAATATACATTACTGATGGCACAATACCTAACTTTTCTTCGATTTGGCAATGCACCCTACTACTAAGGGTCACTCGACACCTTCGCAAGGAGGTTAGTGTAGTTTTCATGCTTGTATTGCATACCATCTTGACCCTATCTAATAGTTATAGTTGTAGAGCTTCCGATGTTCTTACTTACACATTAGCTCTTGGATAAGTATGAACTCAAACACCACTGTTTTCTTCAACTACTCCATTTGGTTCCATTTTGTGGAGAAAAGAAAGACACTATAAAGGAAAAGTTAAATATTGTCAATTTAAAACTCACTTTTTGAAATAATGAAGTAATAACACAAAGTATTTTTAGATTAATTTGTCTTAACTATGTTCTTGATCAATTCAATCAAGGTCTATTATCTTTCACAAAGATAAAAGTATTTTTTTACAAGTCATTTCTAACTAAACCTATGTATTCTTTAACTTGCCTCTTCAACCAACTTCCCAAATATTCTTTGAACAACAAAGCCTTTATAGGTTTCAAAACCAAGTATTTTTTTTACAACAAAGCCTCTTCAGACTTCAAGCTAAAATAGAAAGTTAAAGTTGGGTAAGGATAACAATTGTTTTGTCTTTCGTATAAGACGTGATACAACTTTTAAGTACAAAGCTTTACATAGAAAGAAAAAATGAATAGAATAATTGAAGTTGTTCTCTCTTCTTTTTGAGTCTTCAAGCTACTTTATATAGTTGCTTGATGATGATGACCGTTGACCTTCACTCATAGGCTTGTTTTGTCTTCCTTCCTTGTAGAATATAATGGAAACTCCATGGTTAATTGGAATTCAAATTCTTCAAGGAAGCCTCCAAGCTTTTCAATCTTCATCCACGACTTAAAAACATCAAAGCAACCAACAAAAGGTAGAGAGGTAGGAGTGCAACAGTATCAAGTGAGAGATAAGCAAGAAATGAGGTTTTTGCCAAAAGGAGAATTTCCTTGATGAGAGAACTCAAGGAAATAAGTTCTCCTTAGAGAAAATCTAGAGACCTTTGAGAGAGAAATCCAAAGTTGATTCTATCAAATGCTCAAAAGTGTCATGAGATTACAAGAAAATAAAATTTATAGGAGTAAATAGCTTATGGAGCAAGCTAGGCCAACCATGATTCAAAAGGAATCATGGTTGCTTAATTATAGTCAGTTTAGGCACTTAAATTTGAATTCAAATTTTGGCTCCAACCTCCCATGTGCACCACGTGCTCCTAGATCTAAATGAGCCTATGAGACAATGGCATGTGGCAAACAAGGAAGGTGTTACTTAATTTGTTACCATTTGAATTGATTTTTAATCACTCTATGTGTGCCACTTCATGGTCGGCCACCATGAGTAATTTAACTCATTCAAATGTTAATCCACACCCCAAAATTAATTATACCTCCTAGGTCAAATATTTACACATTAAAGAAAATATATGAAAAATTCCTTACAAGGCCTAAAATAAGCATAATATGCACAAGTACACAAGAGATATTGGGCTTATATATTTAATAGCCTATAACTCAATATGAGCTTATGCCCACTAACCTCATTATGAGCCTAATCCTCTTGGATCCTCCTAGCCTAGCCAACACCTATTGGTTCCCTTTGGATGAGACCTCTAAGTATGATTCTATCATTCCTTCCCCATTCGAAAGTATTTATCCTTAAATCTAGAGCTCCCTCTTCCTTGTCAACACCTACAAAACACACGGATCCCAACCAACTGATCTATAAAGTCATCTATCTTAGGCAAATAATATTTATTCTTAATGGTTTCCTTATTCTGCTAATGATAATCTACACATAACCTCATACTTTCATCCTTCTTCTTCACTAAAAGTATGGGTGTTCCCCAAGGTGATATACTAGGCCTCACAAATTGCTTATCTAACAACTCCTTTAATTATTTCTTAAGCTCAGAGAATTTTAAGGAAGAAATTTTATAGGGTGCTACTGAGATGGGTTTGATTCCTGGTACAACATCTATGGTAAACTCTATCTCACACTTAGGTGGTAGGCTAGTCATATCCTTAGGAAATACTTCAAGGAATTCTTTAACTATGGGTATCTCACTCACCACAGTTTTTACTTTCTAATTTTAAGGAGGTTAACATCATGTATACCTGAACATCCTCTTTCAAAGTCACCTTAACTTGATTGACATTCCAAAAAGTCCTCACTCTTACCCTCGATAGGCTGGCCAAAAACAATAATGGTTTTATTTGAATAGTTCAATAGGACATGGTTGGAAGATAACAAATTCATACCAAGAAAGAGATATGTTTGACTCTAAGGCAAAACAATATAAGTTAACTACAAAACTCCTATCAGAAATTTTCAAAGGCATTTAAGACAACATCAAAGACAAAAATTGGCCCACTAGTTGGTGTTTTCCCCATCACCTGAGTTATCACCTACAAGGCAACAACTAAAGTGTGATTGTTCTTCCCCACCATAACTCAAAACACTCAACATAAAACATACAAGTTTAGAGTACACATAGAACATGGCAAAAACATTACATATTAGCCAGATGAACCGATCGGCTCTGATACCACTAAGACACCTTTTTATCCCATATAAATAAATAAATATAAATATAATAATATAAAACTTTTTCATCAATAATTAGTAAAAAGGTTAACAAAAATTTATCCATCACTTTCTTGAATAAAGAAAACATAAAATATTATTTGAACCAAAATAAGGCACAACCTCCTAATTAATATTGTTACAACAATAAAACATAATCAAAAAGAAACTCAATAGTTGAACAATTACTAAAATTAAAACCTTGTCTCAATGTCACACTATCAAAGCATAACCCCTCTTTATATGTTTCTCCCTCATCAAACATATCTTCTTGTATCTGCTCTAATTCTGTATATGACATTCATCACAAGAATAAATATACAAACACAGGGAGTAAGAATACATCTCATCCATAAACATCATATACAAGACATAAAGGTAGATATATACACATTTATACCTCAATAACATCTTATATACTCATAAACATTCTCACTCATATCAATAATAACAAACATTCTTAATTATATCAATAATGACAATCAATATACCTCTATTCACCATTCTTTATCATATAGTCACTCAATAAAACATAATCATAATGTAAGACTCGTAAAATGCATGCTCCTAACTCTATATGCATGTGATACCGATCTCCTTCTCATCATTGAGAATATAGAATAACCTAGAAGTAATGGAACGGGATCACCTCATTGAATAATGTAGTGACCACTTATCAATAGTGATCCCCTTGAACCACCTCAACTAGGGGATGTTTATCATTGTCTTGTTGAAGTGTTACAACTAGACACAGTATAGCCTTCCATTCCCCTTAGAGATTTAAGTAATCCTTAACCCATGTTGAGTAAATCACCAACACGTATTGCATTTCCCCTATTATTTTTGTAGTCACCCTTAGCCAATTGCTAAGTAACTCTCAATACTTGTCGAGTAAACCACCCTCATAACTCATAACTATGATGTGTTTACAAATTTGAGAAACCTTATCAATTGATAAGGGTTTCTATGTGACTCTCTTAGGATATGAGCTTCCATTGAGGAAGTATTCTCACTCTTTCTATTGGAGATCAAATTACAAATGTGTATGGTGAGAACTTTGAATCACAGAGTATGAAGCAAGTAATTATAACTTTATCTAGATTGGATATTGATAACTTTCAATGTTCTTTCTTTCTTGAAACAGTTCCCTTGGTTTTCTTTTTATAGACTCCAAAATAGGTCCGTTGAAGTTGGCTTAACTTATAAGCAGTGTTGACATCATCTTGTACTTTTATTCTAGTGCTATCAGCATATCCTTCAAATGTAGTGTGCTTTTGAGTAACCTTTTGAACATGGTCTCTAGTACCACTCTTTTGAGAAGTTGAATTTGAACTAAGACTTTCTGCATGGGAGGCTCTACTAGATAGACTATGATTTAGGTTCCTCAAGGTATCTTTCCATGAGAAAAAAATGTTCATACTTGAAGATCCTTAATGTATAAATCTTGAGCACTTCGATCAAGGAACAAAGATAATCAATGATAGTTTTATGTTTTTAAGTGTCCTTTTGAACAATATATCTTAGAAGGTGTAATACATTTAATCTAAAATACTTGAGCAAATATGATAGAAATTATTTATAACTCTTCCAACATTTTGAACCAAGGATTTTTCATTATTAAAATCATTTAGGGTTCAACATCTCTGGTGGCTCCCATCGCTAGTTCTTTCCTCCCTCGATATACTCC